CCTAACAACAACAGCAAGTGCTTCTGGAATACATTTCAATTGGTATTCTGTTAATTCCTCGAGCTTTGTTTTTCATTAATGACTTCAGTGCAACCTGGACTTTTCCCTTTAATATCATAGGTTCACCTCCTGAAATGGCTGAGCCTCTATCAATTCTTTTTGTTAGAGTGACTCTGTGTATTCCTTCTATCTTCTTTTGATGATTCCTGCATTGTTCAATATTTTGCCCATAGAATATTTCAATATTGCAAGTTAAGGTTTGAATTTTTTCTTCAGTTGTTTCAGCTTGAGAATCATGAGTATAGTCTCCCTTTTTGAGTATCTAATTCCAGATCCTTTCACATTTCATTATAATACTTTATTTTGTCTTCTTGAACTGACCTTTGAAATTTTCTGTTCAACTCTTACTTCATCAATTCTTCCATTCACTTTAGCAAGTTTCAGAGTCTCTTCTGACATCCACTTTGGTATTTTCTTTCTTTCCTGTCTTTTCATTGACCTTTGTTTTCTTGTTTGTGTGTGATGTTCTTGATGTCATACCACAACTCATCTGGTCTTTGATCATTAGTGTCTAATGCTTCAAATTGATTCTTGAGATGCTCTCCAAATTCAGGTGGATATACTCAAGGATTTGATATGCTCAAATTCAGGTGTATATGCTCATGTTTTAACTCTTGTGGACTTGTTTTAATTTTCTTCAGCTTTACACTGAGTTTGCATATGACCAATTGAGGTCTGTTCCACAGTTGGTCTCTGGCCTTGTTTTGGCTGATGAGATTGAGCTCTTACCATAAATGTAGTCAATTTGATTCCTTCCTGTGTATTCCATCTGGTGATGACCACATGTATAGTCACAGTTTGTTGTTTTAAAAAAAAGTACTTGCAATGATTCAGTCATTGGTCTTGCAAAATTCTATCATGCAATCTCCAGCATCATTTCTATCACTAAGCCCATAAGTTTTTCAACTTCTGATTCTTCCTCTTTGTTTCCAACTTTCTCATTCCAATCACCAGTAATTATCAATGCATCTTGACTGAATGTTTGATGAATTTCAAAATGAAGCAGTTGGTAGAGTCATTCAATTTCTTCATCACTGGCTTTGGTGTTTGGTTGGTAAATTTCAATTATAGTTGTATTAACAGGTCTTCCTTTAGGCATATAAATATTATCCCATCACAGACACCCTTGTATTTCAAGATAGATCTCAAAATGTTTTTTTAAACAATAAATGCAATGACATTCCTCTTGAATTTGTCATTCCCAACATAATAAACAAAATGATTGTCTGATTCAAAATAGCCAATACCTGTATATTTCAGTTCACAACTGCCAAAGAGTCCTGTTGTGGCACTGTAGGATAAACACTGGACTGCTAACTACAGATCGGCAGTTCAAACTCATCAACCAGTCCTCAGAACCCCTATACAGGGTCATTGTGATTTGGAGCTGACTTGATGGCACTAAACAACAATGTCTAGGATATTGATCTTTATTTATCCCATTTTATTTTTGATGACTTCCAATTTTCTTAGTTTTATACTTTGTACATTCCATGTTCCATTTATTAATGCATGTTTGCAGCTGTTGCTTCATCATATTTTGAGTTGTGCCCCATCAGAAATTAATGTCCCAAAAACTTGTTGGGCTGCTAACCGTAAGGTCAGCAGTTCAAAGCCAACAGCAGCTCTATGGGAGAAAGAGGAGGTTTTCTGCTCCCGCAAAGATTTATAGCTTCGAAAACTCTTTACAGGGTCATTAAGAGTTGGAACCAACTCAGCAGCACACAACCGATTTTGAGGAGACAACACTTCCTCAGTTATATTTTGGGTGCCTCCCAACCTGAAGGGCTCATTTTCCAGCACTGTCTCAGAAAAGTTCCTCTGCTGTTCATAGGATTTTCAGGGGCTAATCCCTCAGAAGTGAGCCATCCATTTCTTCTTCCTAGTCTGTTCTTAGTCTGGAAACTCCACTGAAACCTGTCCATCATAAGTGATCCTGCTAAGTATTGGAAACAATGGTGGCATAGCTTCCAGCATCACAGCAACAAGCAAGCCATACAGTAAGACAAACTGATATGTGTGGGGAGAACCCTTAGTGGAACAGAAAAGACCCATAAATCACAGGAGCTCCAGATAACAGATAACAGGAGTCATGGTGTGGCACTGTAGGATATGCAGTTCATACCCACCAGCCCCTTCTCGGGAACCCTATACAGGGTCACTTTGAGTTGGAACTGAATCGGTGGCACTTTACAACAAGATAACAAGGGTTCTACTTACCTTCAAATGTGAAATTGAACACACCACTGTATTTGGCATTTGAGCAGTTCTTAATGTGGACTTTGCATTTGTAGGGGCCCAAATCATTAGCTTTTGAGATGCTTATGTTAAAAATCATGAATTCACTTTGTGTAGCTTCACTTTTCACATATTTATCATGCAGAAACAAAGAGTATTTGGTTTTTCGAGATATTGGCTTGATGGAGCACATCAGGGATACATTTTGACCCTTCGTGGCCACACTGGTTTCTGAGGACAATGTGGGTGAAGGACATTCTGGAAAACAAACAACAAAACATATAGCCCTTGTTAATATCACCTGATGCTAACTCAGTGGTCTTCCAGCAACAGTTTTGTGGGTTGAGGTGGTAAGGACACTGCATTCTTGGAGTGCTTCCCTACTTGAGGCTCTGGTTGCCTATGCAGCTATGCTGATCTGTGTGTGAGGAAGCCCCCGGACCTGCAGAGGTGCCTCACAATGAGTGATGGGTGGACTGACCACAAGTTCCCTTGTACTGGCTCTCTCTCTGTTTCTACACAGAACATGATGAAGGTGCAGCATCAAACTGGTTATACCGACATAGAAAGATTAAAACTGTTCCAGCTCCTATGACCAAACATTATTGTCTGATGGCTTGTTTTGCCCATTACTTTATATTTTGAGTAATTTCATACATAATTGTAGAAAATTAGCATTAGAATCCCAATGGAAGTATCACCCAGCTTTAAAGATTATCAACTTGTGATTAATCCTGTTTGGTCTACCTGCTTTCCCATGGTTTGAAGAGAAGCACAGACTGCATTTTATTACATCCATACATTTCAGCACTGAGAAAGAGAAAAACAACCGTAGACAGCTGGAAACTGGCCTGCCTGTAGCTCACAGCTAGGCTTCGGTGTTCTGCTATTGAACATAAAGGAAAGTCATAGATCACCAACCAGACAAGGCCAATCTATGACCCTGATGGATCAAGGCAAAAATAAGACAGTTACATCCCATGTTTATATATACAGATGAAAACATGAATGAATATGGTCCAAATCATAAAAGTGACCAACCATTCCATATACTGGCTATTAGGAGGTCTGCTTTTTTTTTTTTTTTAACCAACCATTGTTTAAGCCTCACTCTGTTGTTCCTACCTGCTAGGTAAGAATTAGTAAGACAATCATAGAATTACTGCTACTTCCTGATAGATTCCAATATATGGCAGAGACTGTTTCCTCGACTCTTTCTCCAAAGCACCTAAGACAAATTACACTTCATTTTGCTTGGATCCAAAATGAACACATATGGAAGCAGCAGTCAAGAAATCAAATGACATGCTGTGTTAGGCAAATCTGCTACAAAAGATCTCTTTGAAGTGTTCAAGAACAAAGATGTTACTTTGAATACTAATGCGCACCTGACCGAAGCCATGGTATTTTCAATCATCTCACATGCATGTCAAAGTTGGACAATGAATAAGGAAGACAATTGAAGAATTGATGCTTTTGAACTATGGTGTTAATGAAGAATACTTAAAGTACCATGGACTATCAGAAGAACAAATAAATCTGTGTTGGAAGAAGTACAACCCGAATGCTCCTTAGAAGCAAGGATTAAGAAGCTTTGTCTCATGTGCTTTAGACATGTTGTTAGGAGGGACCAGTCCCTGGAGAAGGACATCATGCTTGGTAAAGTGGAGAACTGCCCCCTCCCCCAATGAGAGAGCTTGACAGCAATGGGTTCACACATAAGAATTGTGAGGATGGTGCAGGACCAGGCAGTGTTTCCTTCAGTTGTGCACAGGGTCTTTATGAGTTGGACCAGAATTGACAGAATTTAACAAAACAGCAGAGTCTTATTGAGATTTCCCATGGTTCCCTGTGGTATGACTTAGTTTAATTTCGTATGTGTCCCTGGTGATCTTTGGTTGGAAGACATTGAAAGTTTTTGTCTCTCAATGCTAAGGACACTCTTTTGTAAACATAACAATTCCATGATCATATCTTCACATATCTAGTTTATGTTCAAATTTCTCCAATTGCCTTTTTTTCCCACAGTTTTTGCTTGAATATTCAAATATTGTAATTAATTGATTTAAAAAATATATAAATACTTTTCCATCTCATTCTTTTCTTTATCTTCAATTTATTTGTTGAAGATAGCTATTTGTTTGTTCTATAATGTTTTTCACACTATGGGTTCTATTGATTATAACCTCATGGTATCTTTTTTTTTTTTTTTAATGTTTTATTGTGAATTATATGATAGTTTACATGGGGGAACTTCAGTTTTACATTCATTCCATCATATATCATCTCACTGCCACCCCATGGTATCTTTTGCTACATTGATCTGTCCTGGTGTTTCTGGTAAATCAGTAATTAGCTCTAGCAGCTTGATGAAATTCTCATTAGCTTTTGCTTAACAAGAACATGTCATAGCTGGTATTATGTACTTCCATTATTGGTGTTGTTAAGTGCCATTGAGTTGATTCTGACTCGTAACAACCCTGTATAGAGTTTCCAAGGAGTGGTTGATAGGTTTGAACCACTGGCCTTACAGTCAGAAGTCCAGTGCTTATCCTACAGTGCCACACCAGTACTCAATTGGTTTTGATGGTTGTGTGCCGTGCATTTGTTTCTAACTCATGGTGACCCTGCATAGAGTTTTTGAGGCTGTAAATCTTTACAGGAGCAGAAAATCCTCATCTTTCTCCTGCAGAAGTTTGACCTTGAGGTTAGCAACCCAACTCATAACCACTGTGCAGCCAGAGCTCCATTAGGAGGTATATAGTGTCTGATTTTCTCTCTTTTTGTTAGTAGCCTTTGATGATAATCACCTAAAAGTATTATTTCATTCAAAGTTACAAAATGGTGATATACTAATTCTAATTAGTCCTTCTCTACTGTTTTCTGAAACAGTTCTATAAAAAAAAATTTGCCATTGTTAGCTGTTTCATTAATTAAGGTACAGTTTGCACAGAAAATGAAGAATCAATGCTTGATTTTTTCCCTTTATTGCCTATTTTTTAAAACAAAGAGCTGGTTCCTATGATAGTTAAGGTTTTGTGTCAACTTAGGTGGGCCTGGATTCTCAGTGGTTTGGCAGTTAAGGCGTATTAATCTCTAATAATGAGATCTAATATAATCTAATTACTTCCATGATGAGATATGCTATAAGCATCTAATCAATTGAAAGGAAGTTTGCTTGGGGATATAGCCTGCTGTCAATATATTGGATGCTCAGGCAAAGCTAGCTTGCTTTTTACTAGGTCTGAATCCTACATCTCACTTATCATCTGACTTCCATTTCTTAGGGCTTGAGCCAGTAGCCTGCTATATTGCCAGCTGATCTTGGGAATTGTCAGCAGCCTGCCATTTTACCAGCCAACCTTGGATTCATTCATCTCTGTAACCAGAAGCCTGCTGTATGACCTGCTAATCTTGAGGTTCGGGAGAAGCCTTTGGTCTGGCATCTGACACTTGGGATTTGCCTCTACAACTGTGTGAGCCATTTCCTTGATAGAAACATCTCTGTGTGTGTGTGATAAAGATAAGGTTTTCTGCTCCTGCAAAGATTTGTTGTTGTTGTTAAATGCTGTCAAGTTGGTTCCAACCCATAGCAACCCTGTATAGGGTTTCCAAGAAGTGTCTGGTGAGCTTGAACCACTAACCTTGCGATTTAAACTGACTTTGCAGTCCAGCACATTAGTCCACAACCTTGGAAAATCCTATACAGGGTAGTTATAAGTCAGAAATTACTCGACGGCACTTAATAACACACACCCATATATTATGGTGTTAGTGAAGAATACTTAACAACCTTGCAGTTCAAAGTGCCCTTGAGGTCCAGTGCTTATTCTATAGCATCACACCAGGACTTTCTCTATATGTACACACACACATACACACACACATATTTCACTGGTTTTACTTCTCTAGAGAACCCTGCATAAGACAGTTTTATAGCATCTTACAAAAGTGAACAGCGAGTCTTTTTCTTTTATTGTTGTTTTTCTCTTAACAATCCTATGAACTCTGAAGCACATTTGATGTTTCAATCCATTGCATTTCTTATTCTTACTATCCCATTTTTTATTGTCATTGATAAGCCTCTTCAAAATGACTTCTGAGTCCTTTTGCTATTACCTCAGTAGTCTTTGTTTTTATGTTTTTATTTATTTTCTTTTTGTTGTTGTTAAGAGTATACTCAGCAGAACATATACCCACTCAACAATTTCTACATGGACAATTCAGTGGCATTGATTACATTTCTAATGTGTGGAGCCATTCTCATCCTCCTGTTCTGAATGGTCGTCTGCCATTAACATAAACTCACTGCTCCCCAAATTCCCCAGTCATCTTTGATAGCTAGCTGGTTTGGCTTTCACAATCTAAAAGTGCCAAAGAGGAAAAGAAAACCCTTTTCAGAAAATGTAATGTTGAAAAAAGGAAAGATTATGAAAGAATTTAGAGAAGTATAGGGAAATATTTTCATGGCATTGGGTAGGAAAGTTCTTCCAAGTAAGATTCAAACATTATGAGCAGTAGTGAGCAACCAATCTACCATACAACTATTGTCTCTCCCTGTCCAGAGCAAAGAAGAGTTAGGAAAACCAAAGACAAATAGAAACAGTTCAATGGACTAATAAACCACACAAATATCCATCTCCATGACTCTGAGACCGGAAGACTAGATAGTATCTGCCTACCACTACTAACTGCTCGGAATGGGATCACATTAGAAGGTCCTGGATACAGTGGGAGAAAAATGTGGGAAAAAACACCAAATCTTAAAAAAGAACAGGCTAACTGGTCAGATAGAGACTGATGGAACCCCCAAGACTATGGACCTCAGTTGCCTGTCAGGTCTAGAAATGATCTCACCCCCATGGCTCGATCTTCAGTCATGCAATAGACATGAGGGAGGTATACACACCACAGAATAATCAACCATTTGATATCAAAAAGTTCAGAAGAGAAATAAGGAGGCATGGAAATAGGAAACACAGGGAGAAAGTGGTATAAGTGGAGATTGTAATCAATGAGATGAAACAAACGTGTATGAATTATTAAATGGAAAACGGATCTGCTCTGTAAGCCTTCACCTAGTTTCACAATAAAAATTGAGTAAAAAAGAAGAAAAATAGACTACTTCAATATTTAAAACTTCTTTATGGCAAAATGAAAGATAAGTGAAAAACCTAAAAGAAAATACTTAAAACATAAATAAAATCAAAGAATTCCTTAGTATATCTAATCAATAACAAACAAACAAGAAAAAGATAAACAACCAAACAACAAAAAAATGGACAAATAATATGAGTAGATAATTTCCAGAAGAACAAATACCTATAGCCATTAAACAATGAAGAGGTCAAGGTTTGACTTGGGTTGATAATTTATTATCTGCTATCAACACCCCTCCCACTCTTTGTTCGGGGCACTTAACATCTACCATTCTTCTGTCAGTTTTTGTACTGTGGTGGCATTTGTGTTGTTGTGATCTTGGAAGCTATGCTACCAGTACTTCAAATACCAGCAGGAACATCCATAGTGGACAGATTTTAGTGGAGCTTCAAGACTAAGACAGGTTAGGAAGAAGAACCTGGAAAATTACTTCTAAAATAAATGGCCAGTTTAAATCTTATGAATAGCAGTAGAACATTGTCTAAGACCGTACCAGATGGTGAGCCCCTCAAGTTGGAAATTATTCACAGTACAATTGGGAAAGAACTGCCTCCCCATAGTAGACTCAACCTTAATGAAGTAGATGGAGTAAAGATTTAAGGACCTTCATTTGCTAATGTGACACAAGCCAAAATGAGAAGAAACAGTTGTGAATATCCATTACTAATCATAATGTAGAACGTATTAAATATGAGTGCAGGAAAATAGGAGGTTGTAAAAATGAAAAGGAACGCTTAAAGATGGATAACTTAGGCTTGCTGTTAAGTGCCCTGAGGCAGTTTCAACTCCTAGCAACCCTATAGGGTTTCCAAGGAGCGGCTGGTGAGTTTAAACGACTGACCTTGTGGTTCAAACTAAACTTTTGGTCCAGTGCTTTAAACTAGGCTTAGTGAGCTGAAAGAGACGCCATTTTGAAACGGATCATCATATGATCTTCTATGCCATGAATGACACATTGTAGAGGTAGT